ATTGAGAATCAGACGTAAATTCATCCACCTATGAGCAGGTGATATTTGACAAAGGCCCAAAGTCCATTAATTAGGGAAAAGACAGTCTCTTTAACAAATGGTGCTGGCATAACTGGACATCCATCTGCAAAAAAAATGAAACAAGACCCATACCTCATACCATGCACAAAAACTAACTCAAGATGGATCAAAGACCTAAATACAAAATCTAAAATGATATAGATCATGGAAAAAAAAATAGGGATAACGCTAGGAGCCCTAAAACACAGCATAAACAGAATACAAACCATAAGTAATGATGCACAAACACCAGAAGAGAAACTAGATAACTGGGAGCTCCTAAAAATCAAACAACTTATGCTCCTCAAAAGACTTCACCAGAAGAATAAAAAAGCAACCTACAGAGCGACAAAAAAATTTTGGCTACGACAAATCTGATCAGCATCTCTACAATCTAGAAGATACTGCAAAACCTCAACAACAAAAAGACACATAACCCAGTTAAAAAATGGGCAAAGGATATGAACAGGCACTTCGCCAAAGAAGACATTCAGGAGGCTAACAGACACACAAGGAAATGCTCATAATCATTAGCCATTAGAGAAATGGAAATCAAAACTACAATGAGGTACCATCTCACCCCAACAAGGCTAGCATTAATCAAAAAAACACCAAATAATAAATGTTTGAGAGGTTGTGGAGAGATTAGAACACTTACACACTGTTGGTGGGAATGTAAAATGGTACAACCACTTTGGAAAATCGATTTGGTGCTTCCTTAAAAAGCTAGATATAGAAGTACCATACGATTCAGCAATCCCACTCCTTGGAATATATCCTAGACAAATAAGAGCCATCACACAAATAGATAACAAGCACACCCAGGTTCACTGTAGCACTCTTCACGATAGCAAAAAGATGGAATCAACCTAGGTGCCCGTCAATGGCGAATGGATAAACAAAATTACAGTATATTCACACAATGGAATACTATGCAATGATAATAAATGATGATGAATCCATGAAACATGTTATAACATGAAGGAATCTGGAAGGCACTATGCTGAGTAAATTTAGTCAGTTGCAAAAGGACAAATATTGTATAAGACCACTATTATAAGAACTCAAGAAAAGGTTTAAACCCAAAAGAAAACATTCTTTGATGGTTACAAGGGTGGGGAGGGAGGGAGAGGGTTATTCACTAACTAGATAGTAGACAAGAATTATCTCAGGTGAAGGGAAGGACAGCACACACTACAGGGGAAGTCAGCACAACTGGACTAAATCAAAGCTAAGAAGTTTCCTGAACGCAACTCAACACTTCAAGGGACAGAGCAGCAGGGGCAGAAGCCAGGGGACCATGGTTTCAGGGGACATGTAGGTCAACTGGCATAACAAAGTTTATTAAGAAAATGTTCTGCATCCTACTTTGGTGAGTGGCATCTGGGGTCTTAAAAGCTAGTAAGCAGCCATCTAAGATGCATCAACTGGTCCCAACATACCTGGAGTAAAGGAGAATGAAGAACACCAAAGACACAAGGAAACTATTAGCCCAAGAGACAGAAAGGGCCACATAAACCAGAGACTCCATCAGCCTGAGACCAGAAAAACTAGATGGTGCCCGGCTACCACCAATAACTGCCCTGACAGGGTACACAACAGAGTCCCTGACAGGACAGGAGAAAAGTGGGGCGCAGAACTCAAATTCTAGTAAGAAGATCAGATTTAACGGTCTAAGACTGGAGGATCCCCAGAAAGCATGGCCCCCGGACCCTCTGTCAACCCAGAACTAAAACCATTCCTGAGGCCAACTCTTCAGACAAAGATTAGACTGGACTATGGGATATAATATGATACTCGTGAAAAGTGTGCTTCTTAGCTCAAGTAGATACATGAGACTAAATTGGCAGCTTCTGTCGGGAGGTGAGGTGAGAAGGCAGAGAGGGTCAGGAGCTAGTTGAACGGACACGGGAAATCAGGGGTTGAAAGGAGAAGTGTGCTGCCATAGTACAGGGAGAGTAACTAGGGTCACATAACAACGTATGTTTAAATTTTTGTATGAGAGACTAATTTGAACTGTAAACTTTCACTTAAAGTACAACAATTTAAAAAAAACAAAAACAAAAAAACCATGAGCAGTTCTATTCTGTTGCATGGAATGACCATGAGTCAGAACTGACTCAAGGGCACCTAACAACAACAACAACAATATAGCTAGGTGGTTTAGAGTTCTACTTCCAACTTCAACACTCATTCACTAGCTGTATAATCTTCGGCACGTTTCTTAAATTCTCTGTGGCATAATTTCCTTAACTCTAAAATGGGGATAATAATGGTACCTACCTCACAGAAACACTGTGCCGCTTGAGTGCATCCGTGTGTGTGTGTGTGTGTGTGTGTGTGTGTGTGTACTCACATATACACACATACATACACAAAAGTACTTACTAGCACCACACATGTGTAGCACTTTTATTATTGTTTTATTGTTACTATTCTCTATCCCACTAATTCCAGTTGTAAACTGGCAACTAGTTTAACTAGTTTACATTTATCAAACTATTTTATCAAAATATTTTAAAATTTCTAATCTAGTAAAAAGGCGCTTCTTTTATAATGCCGAGACGTTTTTTAATTACAATAGCAAGGAGTGATGAACATAAACAATATTTCAAGGTACTTATAACTGTAAGATATGAAAATATCTGTAGTTTATCTTGGAGACAGAGTTATAAACACTGTTGCCTACACTGAAAATTAAATTTCAATTACAGGCTAGTGAAAAAAACACATAAATTTTTTTCCTCAACCAAGTTTGTGGACTTCCTGAATTCTACCCAGGGACGCAGATTAAGAACCCTTGGCTAAGGGGAAAGTGAAAAATAAGCTTTGGAGCCAGAAACTTCAGACTTTAGTCCTCATATTATTTACAACTGAATGACCTTAGACATCTAACTTCTGAGCATAGGTTTCCTGGCTTAGAATAATTACTATATATCATGAGGTTAGTTAACAAAATGTCAAATGAGCAACGTACATTCAGTTTCAAATATCTAATGGCATTGTTAATTTTTCAATAAAACTCATACAGAAAAATTAAAAGACTTAGTATTAACATCAAAAACGACAAAATGATTCACAAAGAAAATAATTAATGGAGACATTAAGTTTATATACACAGTAAGATGTTGTAGAGTTTGTCTAAACTAGGGAGTTAAGATAGGTCTAAATTGCTAAAAAATCGAACTATGATTTGACTTTAGAATGACATGGGTCTATCTCCCAGTTCCACTTTACTAGCTGTATGAATTTTGGGAAAGTTACTTAACCTGTCAGCCTCAGTTTTCGCATTTGTAAAACGCTGCAATGTTGTTTTAGAGACAGGAGAGGACCTAGCTTAAACACTCAATAAATGAGGCTATTAACGAAGTTCACATTTTAACAAAGTCAAAGGAATCATTTTGGAACTTAAACGTTTATTCTGGAATTCATGTGGATATAGTAAAACTTCATAATCTTCGTTTTGCCCAGCAAAATATGTAAGCACGTAAAACCTGCAGCATTTGCATGGCATCACATTCCTAAAACAAACTGGCACTGCTTAAAATCATATCTGACTTCTTATTCTGCCGAAGGAAAACAACAACGAGGACTTTTTTAAAAAAGACAAACAGAATGGGCTCAGTAATTTAAAATCTTTTCATGATTTGCTTGGAATGTTCCAATGAACGTTTATTATGAAAGTCAGACCTATGCTGTGTCTTTTTTAAACCTTATCTAAAGATCCCAAATTTATCAACTACACATTGTTGGTTAGATTAAAAAAAAAAAAAAAAAGTAAAATCATTTATTTACTTTACGACGGAATATTAGAGCAACCCCCCCCCCAAAAAAAAACTGCCACAGAGTGGCCCCCGCTCACTCAATCCATTATACAACCTGCAAATTCCTTCCATCATTGAAAAGATTCTTTTTATGGGCATAGTTAACAAGTGCCAAGTTGGGAAGTTGCAGCTTTGCTGGTTTGACGTTTTCACAATGCAAGAACAATATGATCTGGAATCTACTCAAAGCATTTAGCCAGACAGTCAGCTGATGCTCACTGCACACAAGAGAACCGCAGAAATAAGAGAAATTAAACTCCTATTTGTGCAAGGCAGATAGCAACTATCTTTAAAACCAAAATAGGCCAACAGCAGACGTTCCAGCTAATGAAAATATTTCTACTATTCAAATAACACTAAAAACGGTGTTCCCCGGCCCAAGTTTCTCTTATCCTTGGAATTTTCCTGTAAAGGACTTTTCATCGGTTCGTAAAACCAACCCTTCATCACGCAGACGCTGCGTGAATAACTTTTACAAAAGGTCAAAGCGGTGGCTTTCAAGGCTTCCAAACTCTGCTGGCTTCTCCTCAATAACAGTAACTCGCTTTCCACCCAAAGAACGTTCCAGAGACCCAGGGACAAGGAATGAACAAAATCTAGTGGAAGTAGCTAAAAAGCAGCTTTCCATTTTCTTTTCAAAATACTTGTACTGATTTCACCTTCCTCCCTCCGCGGGCCCACATGTTGCTCGCCTCTCTCCCAGAGGGCCCCGCGAGGCCTTGCTCCCGCCCCCCCCGCCCCCACCCCGGAACGCGCCCACCTGATTACTTTTTTCCCCGATAGACTCCGCCCCCCGCCTCCCCCTCCGCCTGTTTGACTCCTTTTGGAGGTCCATATGGGACACTTTCCCCTTCCTGTTTGTCACGCCACACCAGACAAGCCCTCAATTCTCCACCCTTAATTCTCCCCCACTACGACCCTCAATTCTCACAGCTTCCTAAAGTGCTGTGAGTACACAGAGTAGAGCTGCAGGCCCACACGGCCCAGGTGCTGTGTCAGCCTGCCTGCCGGTGCCGCGGCGTGTACGGCCTGGAAAGTCACATGGCGGTGGGACCGGCCGGCGCCTCCAGACTCCTGCTTTCCTCAGGGCAGAACGAAATTACCAAGTCCACTCACCTCCACGAAGAGTAACATGACTTCCTCCGCTCTGCCCAATCGTTCCCGCCGCCGCGACTCCAACCGGCTCACAGGCCCGAGCCCCAATCGCTAGGATAACGACACTCGCCTTGCCCCTCCACCCGGCAATGGACCCGGCTCCTCCCCGCCGTCAGCCGCTGCAGCCTGACCCGCCCAGTCCCACCTCCCTTAAAACAGCAACTGTTTCCGGTTCTAGAGAACAATTGCTTCCGGGAGGAAAGAAAAATCGGTTCGAGCGCTCAACTTTTGCGCTGTCTTTTCCAGCGGCAGTATGGAATGTACTATTATCTGTCCTGTGGAGAGGCGATCGGAGGAAGGCACCATTCTGTGCCACAGGGGTGTGTGAAAATCTTATTGACGCATTTTATCCCTTGCCAAACTGACACCTATTACAGAGCCCTAATAATTCCGCAGTTTTCATAGTTAAAAATCTAGCTCTGCTTAATAGTCGAGCTTGTGCGAAGTGTACTGAACAAACCGCCAACCATGCCAAAAAGGTGGGTGGCTCGCAGAGGAAAAAAAAAAAAAAAGCAGTAGTAGAGGTAAATGTATTAATAGCAGCCACTGTATATTGAATGTTTACTGTGTGCCCAGCACTGTTCTAAGCGTTTTACGTGAATTAATCGTAAAACAATCTTTTGTAACATTATTATCCCTATTTTACAGTTGCAGGTGCTCTCTAGGAAGGTGAGTGACCTTTTAAACTTTGCTCCACGTTAAATCAGGTACTCACATCTCCGCTTAATAAATATGCTACCTAATGTCTCGTCTACAGCCTCTGCATTGATGTTCTGCCATCAATTCAAATAAAATACAATAAAAACAAAATTAATTTTTAAAAATGTCTTTATAATTTTCTGTTAGATGATTCAAATGCCGTATTATCTTCATCAATACCTAGTAGGATTTATCCCTGTCTTCATTCCCACTTCTAGAACCTAGTTCAGACACTCATCTTGATCTTTTCCAAATAATTTTTTCCCCATTCTATTTGTTCAAAAGTCTTCCTAAAGTTTTCATTTTCACCAAACCGCTGTTATTTTCATTCAAAACCTTCTCATTCTGATCCCATGTAATCTCCCTTTACCTCAATTAAACTAATCTCCTCACTTTCTCACTTAGATACCAAATTCATGCCATTGTCAAATTGTTAATGTATGTATTCCAGACCCTCCCTAATCTGATCCCCTAGTAAACTCCCATTACTTCATCTCAATTAAATCCATCTCATTTTTCCTCTGAGATACAAACTCTTTACTACTCACCTCCAAAGCCATGGCTCAAGGTGTCTTCCCTATCTGGAATGCCTTCATTTGTCACTCAGCCTTCTCTCTCCATAAGGTTTTCCTAAAGACTCTGCTCCCCTTCTTCATGTCCCTTGTTAGCACTTGATTATTATATTCTATCTTAATTTTTTTTTCGTTTTCAGTTTCTTCACAGGAACCCTATCAGATATTCTTTAAAGTTTAGGATAATGGTAGCCACACAGTAGTGTCTCAACAAACGTTTGTCCAATTGAAAAGGAAGGAGAGGGATTTAAAAGTTTACTTTAAAAAGCCTTAATTTCCGGTTGCTGATGAATTCCATGCTGCATGAAAAATATAAGAGAGAAAAGGAACAATAATGCTAAATTAGTTGTCAAGCATTTAGGCTACTTCGTGAATTCCTGCTGGGGTAAGCAATGTAAGGAAATCAAGAGAAATAAGTTATTTAAGACTTTCACAATTTAATATTATTATCAACAAAGTAAATAGTCAAGAAATGTTGGATCATGATGAATATCTTAAGCAAACCTCACATTTATAAAAATAATTCTCCTTGATAATGGGCCTTTCCAAGCCCATTATGAACTTCCTTGAGTAACTAGACTTAATTATGGTATACAGGAAAGGAGGGATAATATTTTTTGACTGAGAGGGGCATCTAACAATCAAAGAAAATATTTCAAAGCTTTGAAAAGTTTCCATAAGGAAAGGAGTCTGAGACTATACTGGATTCCCAAATTTTAGGTAGTTTTTGAAAAATAACTGAGTAAGAACATGGCAAACGTTAGAAAAATAAAGTGTGGCATCTAGTCTTGAGAAGTTAAAGAACTACTGAGTAAAAACCATTAAGACATAGTTACTTGTCAATGAGATAAATACCATAACAGAAATTTCATGAAGTGCTTTGGGAACACAGAAGAGGGAGTAACTTAGTCAATGAGAAGGGAAAATATTTAATTTGCGCTCTCTATATTGATATTTTTAAAAAATATCTGCTTGATGGTTCCCTGCCTCCCTTTCTCCTAAGGATTAAAACACGTAAATTGTTTAACATAAATTTACAAGGACTCGACATAGGAGATTCTTGTAGAAAAATGAAGCTATACATCCACAATTTGTATAAAATTTAAAACATATAAAATACTACATATTATTTATGAATATATACACATGCAGTAAAACTATACAAGTAAAGGCTAGATATAAATACATTAAATTCATGACTGTCATTGCCTCTGGAAAGGGACAGAGGGGAAGGAAGGAGTCTGGGGAGAATAAAGGGGACTTCAGCTCTCTCTAATGTGTTCTTTTATTTAAAAATATCTGAGGCAAATATGACAAAATGTTAGTATTTTTTCGTTCTAGGTGGTGGGCACAGGGCTATTATATTATTTTCTGTATTTTTAAAATATTTTTAAAATAAAAAAAAAAAACACTGTATGGCCAACAAAACCACCCTGTCTTTTAATTGCTCCGGTCTACTAAATCCTTTCACCTCCTCTGCAAAGGAGCTGCCCAAAGCACTTTTCCTCCTTCAGTTCGAATGCAGCTTCTGGCGTTCCCCTTCAATTTCTTGAGCCAACTATGGAACTTCAAAGCCTTCTTCAGTCAGGTTCCTTGAAAAAAACAAGTAACTAGGCAATGCAAAGAGTGTGATCTTCAACAGTATCTTCCAAGTTACTACGCATCTTGGAAAAATTAAAGGGCAGCTGAAGCAATTGTAACAAAATTATTTCGCTACAGGCTTAAAAATACTTAGGCAAAAATCCCAGGAAGAGAGAAGAACCAGGAGTTATGTTTGCTACACTAGGTCTTGAATTCTAACACCTAGATTTAAAGCTCATTGAAGCTTCTATATCTTTTAGCATTCCTGTTGCCTATTCTTCCCTACCCTCCCTCCCCCCTTCACTCTTCTACCATCACAGCACAAAGAATGCCTAGTTCTCTGCATATAGTAAGCAGTCTTTAAATGTTTGAGTCAATGATAATGTCACAATGGATCGATTATGACATCACCAGGACTAGAATACCATGGATAACAACCAGTTAGTAGAAAGGTAAACCACAATCTCTGGGAGCAGGAAAGACCTCTTCTAGCTTCCTAGTGGATACCTTTATTAGCATTTGCCTATATTCTGTGAAAAAAAAGAGAGAAAAGAAAATCACCCAACTGTTTAAAATGTTTGTCAGAGTGCTAAGTGAGGTAGACAGTGAATCTGATTCAGAAAAAGAAGTTGAGGATTCCACTGTCCTATCAAGAGAGTTGAAAAATGTCTTTGATCCTTCAGTAGTCCCTATGCTTGAGATTCCATTCTCAACGCAGCGTGTCATCTCTAGAATTGACCAAGCACAGCTCTGTCGAGCCAAAAAGGTAGGTAGTGAATCAGAAGTTTACAGTAGGCAACTTTTTTTTTTTTAATTTTCCATGACCAGCCACATTTTTATTAGAATTCACTTTATTTTCATGATGCTTGACTGTGTTTAAGGTTACTTTGACTTTAAATGACAATTTCACCTGATTCTCTGGAAATAAATCACATGTGCTACTGAGTAATTGGAATAGAAAGAAAAAATCTATAGCTAATATCAATATCTAATTTTAGCCAATAGTTTTTATTCATTCCCTACTGAGCTTTTATCAAATAACTGTTTAAGAGAAAGAACATGGAGTGCTTTGAATTCTAGCTGTTTTTATTTCTCCTGAACTCTTCACTGAGAGGGGTTTATTGGCCATTATGAATCCACGGACACTAAACCAAAGGGCTTAACTAATACAGAGATTCAAATAAAACCAAAAAAATAAACCCATTGCCATCAAGTCGATTCCAACTCATAGCGACCCTACAGGACAGAGTAGAACGGCCCCATAGGGTTTCCAAGGAGTGGCTAGTGGATTTGAACTGCTGACCTCTTGGTTAGCAGCCGAGCTCTTAACCACTATGTCACCAGGGCTCCAACATTCAAATACACCCCAAACAATTAAGGCTATACAGCATTCTCTTTTCTCAGACAGTCAGAATACAACAAAACCAGTGAAGTTATAATAAATTAAGGTTAAGTTCTTTTCCTATGCTTAAGAAGTTTAAATATTTTTCTCACTCTCTGCACAGACTTACCCCTATTCCACCATTCCACAACTAGCAACTATAACTGTTTCTTTTTAACAGCTTTATTGATGTATAATTGACATACTATAAAGTACACATTTTTAAAGGATACAAGTTAAGTTTTGATGTATATGTACACCAGCAAAATCTTCTCAAAATAATGAACTTATCCATCACCCCCAAAACTTTCTTCATGCCCTCTTATAATCCCACACACACTTCCTCACCCTCCTAATCCCCAGCCAACCACCAGTCTGCTTTCTGCCACTACAGATTAGGTTGCATTTCTAGAATGTTAGTGTAAGTGGACTCATACAGTATCTACTTTCTTCCTCTGGCTTCTTTCACTAGCATTATTATTTTGAGATTCATCTATATTCTTGTATGTATGAATAACTTACTCCTTTTTATTCCTAAGTATTTTTCCATGGCATGGACATTTGAGTTGTTTCTGGTTTTTGTTGTTGTTATTATAAACAAAGCTGCTATGAATATTCATGCACAAGTCATTATATGGACATATACTTTCATTTCTCTTGAATAAAGTACCTAGGTTCAGAACGGCTGGGTCACGTGGTAGGTATCTCAGTTATTTAGTGCTGCTATGACAGAAATGGGAGCTCTGGTGGTGTAGTGTTTAAAAGCTCAGCTGCTAACCAAAAGGTCAGCGGTTCAAATCCACCAGCCACACCTTGGAAACCCTATGGGACAGTTCTACTCTGTCCATAGGGTTGCTATGAGTTGGAACCAACTCAACAGCACTTAGTAACAACAACAACAATGTAACAGAAATACCATAAGTGGATGGCTTTAACAA